TCCAAACAGGACAGGATTGGGCCACGAAGTATTTGGGAGCCATGTTGAGGCCCCAAAAAGGGGTGTTTATCCCTATGTAATCCCTAACGAGGACCTCTATATCCCCACATTCCCTTCGAAGGGCTCCGGCTCAACTTTAGAGCGGTATTCCCCAATCTTGAACCGCTGAACTCATGAGCCCTTTAAAAATTCCGTGTTCACCGCTATACCCACGCGTAACCTTCATGAGCCGGAAGTGCCCAAGTACCCAACTGTCGTGTACTCCTTCACAGTTTATTTTAACATCTCTATTCCCGGAACCCCAAGTACCTAAGTATATTAGGCGCTTGGACCAGCAGGTGGAAGGGCATTCTAGCCTGGTTGCTCCGCAGCGACTTGATTGTGCTGCTGGTCTTTACCCTGATTTCGGGGTACCGCCTGATTTGGGAGCCCAAGAACGAGCACTTGGGTACCACTGGTAGCATTCTGATGCTGCTCCTCACTGCTGTCAGCGTTCCTCGGCCCTTGCTAGAGGCGGTGTTGTTTCGTGGTGGTTTATTGCTCCCACCAGTGCCACCCATTAACAGTACACACTGTAATTACCAGTATCATGTGCAGTTCAATTTGCTTCCCCCATGCCTTGAATTTGAAACCTCCCATGCGCGACTGTGAAAACCCTAGATCCCACACCCTGAACCCTGAACGCTGAATCTGGCAACTTTAAAACCCTTAGACCCAAATCGGAAAATCCTACCTAGACCCTCCACTGTGGTACCTTCAAGGGGTCCTCGTAAGAATCCTACTCAAAATGACCATGCTGAGTCCAAAAAGCAACTACATTAACTTCGCCTAACCGAACAGACCATACTAAACCCAAGAAGGAACTACGGTATCCTAGCTGTCCTAACCAAAGAGATTAATTATACTAAACCCCGAATGAGACTTACTTTGGAGCGTCCAGGTAAACCAGTCACCTCTGATCAAGACCCCTGTATCTCCCTCATAATTCTCACATTTCCCTCCCCGATCCCTAAACCCCAAACCCTAAACCCTAACCCCTATCCCTTAGGATCTTCAAGGCCCCCCAATCTGAGAAACTCTCAGGTTTTGATATTGGCAATCGCAGTGTGGGTCCACCTGGGCCCCCTCAGGCCGTCGCGCGGGGGTGTAGGGTTTAGGGCTTAAAGGTGTGGCCGTTGGGCTGCAATCCCCCGAGCTCCTGGTTATCTTGTTCTCTTGCTCGGTATTTCCACCATTGGTGTTACCCGTCTCATGACGGTTTATCAGGTTGGCATCTGCCGTCGCACGGGAGTCCTACGGGCGTCGCCAGCAGACGGCGCGACTCACGGTGCGCACCGTGCTCACACACTTGACAGCAACTACTCTTTGCGCTGGCACGACCCTTCTGTCGACATCTTGCGACTTCTACTCCCATCTTATATGGGCGTACCACCCTGGTGCTGCAGACCCCGTTTACGAGCTGTTCAAAACAGCTACATTCGGCCTGGACTTGATCACGAACGCCTGTGCGCTGCTCTTTCTGTCAAACCTCATCCAGTTGCCAAAGCGCAAGAAACTGGAGCCCAGGAAGCTCAACAGAGCTCAGATACAGTGCGCAGGGTGGGAGAGAAAGGTGGCGGAGTTGTCAGCTCGCGGCTTGCCTCTTAGGACCATTCTCAGCTTCTATGCAGGCTTGGGCGAGAAATACATGACCAACTATGAGGCTGAGCATCACACAACAGCAGATGTGGTTTGGCAGGCCGTGATTCCAGAAACAGCTGCGTTTGGCGTTGCGCTGTCCACGAAGCTGATGCGGGGAAAAACACTTCCTGCCCAACGCATGGTCACGCATTCCTGGTCTAACAAATTTGTCAACTTGCTGGCGGCAATCATTGCCGATGGGCTCGATGAGCCCACCTATGAAGACATTGCGAAGAGATTGTTAGCTGGCAGGCTGCAGGAGTTGACAGAGGAGTTGCAGGAGAAAGGTGCTTTGGATGTGACTTACTGGGTGTGTGCTTTTTGCATCAACCAACATGCGAGCATTTGTAGCAATGCCGGCTGCTGCTGTGAGCACCCGAAGCTCTGGAACCATACGCCGCCGTTGAGGGAGGACGGCGAAAGCATCGAATGTGAGCTGAACAAGTTTGATGACGTGATGTTGTGTCTTATGACAACTGTCCCAAAGTTTTCGCAGGTTATTGCTGTAGACGAGGGGTTCACGCTGTTTCACCGCGCCTGGTGTGTTGCTGAGATCTATCTGGCATACAGCCAAGACATACCGCAGCTCCTCAAAGTCTCCTCTAGCAGATCTATGAACGAGCACGGTAGATCATTGGAGCGGCTCTGCATTCAAGAGATGAAAGCTTCTAGAGCAGAAGATGTGGCTATGATCCTCAGCAAGATCCAGAATGTCGCTGACTTCAACAAGACCCTTCGCTGGATGATTCTTGATGAATCCGCTGGTCTGCTTTCACAATGGAAGGATGCCTTACCTACATTGGATAAACACGGCTTTGTCTATGTTTTAAGGTTTAGGGTTTAAGGTTGGGTATTGTTTAAGGTTTTAGGGTTCAAGATGTCCCTTATATTCACCCCTGACTCTCGGCCATGCTACCTAACACACCCTTTATCCTTTAGACCCTCGACTTACAGATATGCTTTGCTACCACATGCCCTTAGACCTCTAGTTGTTAAGATCATGGTATACCCATACACTATATGGAGGCCCTAAACCCTAAACCGGAGGCCTACTGTAGGGTGTCTAGACCTGGGAGAGGATGCGGTGAGCTTCTCGGCCAGCCTAGCAAAGCTGGCCACACGCTGCGCCACTTTGGAGAAATTGGAGAGGACATTCTAGGATTACTATATTATTACTACTGTTATTATTACTAGTCACATTACTATTATTGTTATTATTATTTCTACTGCTATCATTGCTATTAATTTGACTCTTGTTGCTAGTGTTATCATTATTACCATTATGCTTATTGCTAGTAATGTTACCAGTATTGTTACGGGTCACGAGCCCTCCGCTGTGACTGCATGGAAGCTGCAGCCACGTGGCGACGCACAGGCACGCGGGCTCTCTGACAAGTGCCTGCGAGACTGCAGGCACTTAAGGGCCCTTTAAGTGTTTCTATAAGGGTTCTATAAGGGTCAGGACTAGGGCTTCAGGGTGCACATGTAAAGCTCTGCCTGCGTTGCAGGCCGCCAATGTTTAGGTCTTAATTCGCGCAGCTGCCTAGGTGCAGTCGCTTCTCATGCTTCTCAGTACTGAGAAGCGTAGTAAGCAGCACAGCTTCCAATATTGCAGTCTATGTGTACCGGGAATTACATGAGCTTTCGGAGTAATTCCTAATTCCCTATATTCCCTTGCTGGAGCACTGCATTGTCTTTGCTGTATGGGAAGGATGCGATGATTATCGAGACGTTCCAACAAGGTGTTGGGCAACGTATGCAGGTGTCCCTAGCCCCATTCAATTCAAGCAGCATGGCTCCTGCACCTGTCTGGAGCCCAAGGCCAAATAACACATGAGGTGCAATTGGGAAAGGCATAAACTTTGTGAGAGCAGTTTACTATGATCCAGGTGAGTTTCCCCCATAAGATGCCTCTTCCGAATGATTGTTTGTGGTTCATACTGGAGAACCTCTAGGTCCTCCGAACCCTAGACCCAAGCAGGTTTGTGTTGAGGATCGGGACACTGAGCAACGTAGGGCTCAGGTGGCGTAAGGCTTGCTTGGGGTTTAGGGTTCAGGGGTTTACGTGGGACCCAAAAGACCTTCGGCTAAATAGCATGTTATCCTACAAAATCCATGTGGGCATTCTTCGACATAAGCCTTCCGCAAGCTTTTCAGAAAACCCCCATATCCCCCAAAAAGTGCCCACACATCTCCTGGGCCCCCCCATTTTGAGAACCCCTATGTGGAACCCTAAACCCTAACCTGAAGCTCTTTTGAGTGAAGTCGGGTGTTAAGATGAAGGCCAGACTCAAATGCCCTCCAGTCCCCCAAACTGAAAAGGGTTTAGGGTTTAATTAGAGTTTAGGGGAAGATCAAGCCATGGGGTTTTAACAATACTGTGCTCTCTCTCTCACTCTCTCTCTCTCTCTCTCTCTCTCTCTCTCTCTCTCTCTCTCTCTATACATATATGTATATAATATATATATATATATATATATGTATATATATATATGCATTGACGAGCGCAAAGGCTAGAAGATCAAGAAGGCACAAGTGGATCAACGAAAGAATCTACCAAGGCTTGAACCAATGTTAAATCGAGTGGATAAGCGGATCGAAGCACTGAGTTGCCGCTTGAATGACTATCTCTTAAATGAGCCATCACATGTGTGATGGAACCGGGTTCCCAAGGAATGAGTGGTAGAGAATTTGAGGTACATTCCGCAGACCCTTATGTTGGACCCGCCCCCAATACATATGTATATCCGCAAATATACATATATGTATATATAGATAGATACATATATATCTATATATATACTGTATATATGCAAAACGAAAGATGCAAAGATAGAAAGAGATGGGTAGATACAGTAGATAGACAGATAGACAGATAGATAGACAGAGCTCGGCCAGACAGTTAGACAATCGCCAGTTCAGCTGTTCTATGTATGAAGGCTTCGCCTCATACGTACGTTTGATTACGCAGTGCGCACATCAGAATGCATGTCTGTGAGTGCTACAGCACAAGGGCTCTTTTTTGTGCCGGCACGGTGGCTCGAAAACACGACTTCAAGGCATTGCGTCTTACTGCAGGATAAATCGCTGAGCACGTTCCGTGTAAGCTCCTGCCTCCCCGACCCAGAGTTCCAGCTAACTGTCCATCACTGGCCATCCCGATTCAAAGGAGCATCCTGAGGTATGCATGCAAACACCTGGAACCACCCTCTTTTATCCGCTGTTCAGGCACTGTACTTCACGTTTCGGCTGCTGTTTTGGGGTGCTTGTGAAAGATGGCGAACTCCGGCTTCGGCGCTGTAGATCCATGTTGAGATGCCATGGGGATCAAGGGGCTCTTCCCCTATCTCCAGGAGGCCCGAGGCCTCAGTGGACAGGGGCTCGATGCGACCGACTATCTGGGTGGAATACAATCTAACATCATATACTATACTGTAATCTGTTTTTTGTACTTTGAATGTACTATAAGATCTGCACCAGCTGAGTATTGCGCAGGCCTGAATCACATGATAGTAGCAACCGGGTGAAGGAGCGGAGAAAGAAAAGAGTAGAACCATCTTAAACAGACGAAACACTTGAAGAAAACAGGATACTAGTAGCTCAGAGTTGTAATTACCTCATGAGAAACAGGCACTCTCGGGAGAGGCAGAAGCAATGAAGAAATAAGGTACGGTATGGTAAAGGCAGATCCAGTGACCCTGAGGGATTGAAAGCTCGGTACAGGGGATGGACAGGATGGCCTGAGGTTGAATTTCGGTGCTTCAGAAGCTGTGGCCTCATTTGTGCTCGCCTTCGCTGTCCGCCTGCTTTTGCAATACTTCAAGAGTTCAGTTCATCGGAAGCTTCTGTGGGCGGAACTGTCTGACGACTTAGGTTGGGGGCGGAGTAGGAATGAGCAAGACACAAAGGATGAGAGCATGAGGAAGGACGAACTGAAAGGGAGGATGACTTACGAGACGAAACTGAAAAACAGACAGCACATCCCGAGAGCGATGCCCCCTCGTCAGCCTGAGAGGTGGTGCCCAAGGCGATCTTAGACACTGAACTGAAACGAGCCTTCTCTGCAAAGCTGGTCCCCGTAACTCTTTGGCGTGAGACCGATGTGCAGCTGACCGGAGGATACACCGGCCGCCGGCTGGCTATCGACGCTTCTGCGTGGATGTATCAGTTCTTGAGCATTGTCCGCACGGGCTCTGCGGCGGAGAACCTCCAGAACAAAGAAGGCAACCAGCTCAGCATGTTCTGCCGATTGAGAGCAGTCGAGAAGGCCACAAACTGTAAGTCAGCTGAGGTCAAGCGACTTGCTTGCACTACGTTTCAGGCCGCGTGCTTTCTTTTACCGCAGTATTCACTGCCGTGTTCGAGGGACTCGCAATCTTCGAGGGCGGGTCCTGCTGAGACTGGTCACGTTGAAGTGCCCATCGGACGTGGAGCGGCCCAGGCAACCTCGCATCTTCAAGGCATCGTCTTGCGCGCTCTTAAGCTGCTGGAGGTGCCCTTCTTACGTGGCCCTTCGTGTTCTTTGTTGTTTGTTTTTTAACCGGCTGCAGGTCCGAACATGTTCCTGGCTACGAAATTGCGTCAGGAAAGGGAGTCTTCGGAGTTCTCGACCCTGCTAAGCCAGGCTATCTGCGGACATCGCTGCGTTGTTGCTGTGTTGTTTTTTGGCGGTCAGTCTGCAGGGACCAGGGGCTTTCGGGATCCGAAAGACTAGGGCTTTCGCGGGCTCTCAAAGCGCACGTGGCATCACGAGAGGAGAGTTGTAGGCACCCTGTCCCCTTTGCGCGAAGCTGGTGTGGAAACACGCCTTATCTTGGGTCTTGGAGGACGGTCAGAAAAGAGGGGTGGAAAGTTATTGGCGTTCTCGGGTGCTAGGGCGGCTCTCCTCCCCTCTTCGATGCGAACCCCTCCCACAATGACCCATCCATCTCTCCAACCTGCTCCGCTCATGCAGCTCATGATCCGACATTTTAGGGTTGAGGGTTTAGGATGCTCATGCTAGCGACGAGGTGGTTCTGGTGAGGCAGCCTGCGCACGCCTAGGTGTAAAGGCGCGTGCAACCCCAGGCCTCCCCATCAAGGATCCACATCTCAGGGGGATTTCCTAGGGCTCGCGAAAGGCACCATTCCTGCTTTTCCTAAGGATTAAGACGAGAGTTGTGGCAAATCATTGGATCTGGGCAGGTGGGCGTGCAGCCGGTTTTCGTCTTCGATGGGAAGCCTCCAGCCGCCTGGCGTCGGGGGCTACTTGGGGGTCTTTGGTTCGCTTTGGGCATTCTGCTGGAGCTCTAGGCTGTAGCTCAGTTTGTTGCGGACGACGTTTGGGCAGTTCATGAAGAGAGCATCCTTCAACTTTTGTGGAAAGTCCATTCGTTCATCCACAGATTTCCAGCAGTGTCTTGAACCCCATTCACCAGGACATGAAGCTGGCGGTGAATCGCGCAAGGCGGCAAGTGCGCGCAGCTGCTGCAGAGGCGGGAGGGTTTGGCATGGATCTTGGGATGGATTGTGGGGAGGCGGAGAACAGAGTCGCGAAGAAGATCGGCTCATGGCTTGCGAGCTTTACTTTCAAGTCGGACTCGCTGGTCAGTTAGTTTGATTTGGCTTCAAGTTATCAATGCCCTGAACGTATCATCATCGTGGAACCCTACACCCGCGTTTCAACCCTCAACCTCCAGAAGTTCCTTTCGGGTTTGACATTGGGGGTTTTAGGGTTTAGGGTTTAGGATTGATTTGCGAGTAACGCTGTCCTCTCTCCCGCCCCAGCTTCCAGCGTGAGACAGGCACGGGATCTTAGTTTGTGTCTCATTTTGCGCACCTCGCATGTTGTGTACTCCCGTGGGAAGCCCACCCGGAAGCCTACAGGTCTCTTTCTGCCTATCTACACTGTTTTCCTGCAGGAGCACGCTGCTGCTGTCGCATCAGGCTCCGTGCCCACTCAAGTTTTCTCGGTATCCCATGTACTGGCAGCACGTCCTTTCGCTGCATTGTTCTCCTGCATCCGAAAACACACTTCAGCCTTCAGAAATTTGCATACCCTAAACCCCAAACCCCTGGTTCAGGCACAGCGCCGGCTGAGCATGTCTACAAGGTCCGGGCTGGTCCTTCGAGTCTTCAATGCGGTGCTGTGTCCAGTCGAGTAATCTTTGTCGCCAAGACTTGATGTGAAGAAAGTCGGCATAGGACTACAATAGTAATACAATAGTACAGTGATACTAACAACAATAATGGCCGAAGGGATTGAAGAGGGTTGGCGTCTTATCGCAGCCTCAGTGGGGGCTGACTTGGAACAGAAGGATTCTTGTTGTTTTCAGGACAGGGTGTACCCTTCTAGAACCCTATAGCACCCTTTAACCCTACAGTATCCTTTAAGGGGACCTCATGATCGAACCCTATAGTACCCTAAAGGGGACCCATGATAGAACCCTATAGTACCTTTTCCTTATTCAGCATGAGTTCTCCTTCAAATACTGCGCAGAACGCAAGTCAGCAAACTGAAATCCGAGCCTCGAAGTTCAAGCAAAGCACTCTAAGCCGTAAGCCCTAAACCCTAAGCCCTGAACCCTAAATCCTAAACCCTTTCTCCGGAGACCTGTCGCCAGACAGCGAGCCGCTCCACGGTCGTGACTCGTGAGCACAACCAGCACGCCAAGGAGCTGAGATCCGCCACGGTTGAGGGTTTAGAGGTTCCTGGGTGCAGCTTGCCACTCTAGGCCCTAAACCCTCATCCCTAAAGCCTAAACCTCAAACCGTACTCTAAGCGTTAGAAAAAGAAGTAGAGGCAGTAGAGGTTTCCCGCCCGGGCATTTCCCGCAAAAGCCAATATGCCATAATCTACTAGAATATACTATAGCATACTCCAATACACTATGATATAATATAGTATACCATAATATACAATGTACTACAATATAACATATTGTAAACAAAAGCTTGAGGACCTGCTTCGAACCATGGGGATCTCCGTCGTCCAGGCCAGCAGAAGGATGAGGGATGAGGGAAGAGAGGAAGCATTGAGGGAACCAATGTAGTATAGTATATAGTAGTATCTTTTGATATGTTATAGTATGGTGTTGTATGTTACTGTATGTTAAAGTATGAGCATAGGGGGGGCACTGAGGGATTCCCTAGAACCTGAGAGCTGGGGGCAGAGGGGGCCGCAAAGTGAAACCAGGCCCCCCTGCGCGTACGGCATACGAAGATGTTCCAAGCGAAGTGTTGAAGCTACTCGTCTGACGCCCCAGCGAACAGTCGACCCCGGGTTTGAAACCGGGAAGTCCTCCGAGGGCTTCTCCTCGGTCTCTTCTCTACACCGTTGGCAGCCCCAACTTGTTCCCTGGTTAGTCAGATGGACTTCTTCTGAGCGTTTAGACGTAGCTCCTGGCACCCAGCCCTTAGTTTCTTCTTGGCGGCCTTTTTCTACCGAAGGAAGCACTTGAAAACCGCGCCAGTTTGCACGTTCGGCTGTTGACCGCTGACGTGAGAACTCGATCCTGATCCTTATGCCCCAAGCCAAGTCTCAAACCTTGAACTAACCATAGACACCGAAGCTTGAAAGTTCACCCCAAATTCTGAAGCATATAACCTGCAATCCTAAAGCCTCACCTCCGGTCCTGAACCCACCCCAGATCCCCAACCCCAAAAAAGGAAAACGGAAAGCCAAACCCTTCAACCCTTAAAGCCTTAAACCCGAAACCCTAAACCCTTTAAATCCCCAAACTCCGAGCCCATGGGGCCTTCAGATCATAAAGAGAAACCTCTGCGAGGCACCAGGAGAAGCTGAAGCAGCTTGCGCCCAGCTGTGCCGAGCCCGTCCCCCAAGTGGAGTTCAAGGGAGATTCGCCCTGCCGGGTAAGGGAGATTCGAGCTTGTTTAGGGTTTAGGGTTGTCGGTTTTGTTTGGTGTTTCTGTTTGTTTAGGGCTTAGAGGTTTTAGGGTCAAGGAGTTTGACTCTTGCAGTTTAGGGTTGTGGGGCTTTGGGTTTTGGGGGCTGTGGGGGTGTCATGCTTATTTGCCACGGGGCTTAAGGGTCTCAAGGTTTTATTTTCAACTTGCAACTTTGAAGTTTTAGAGGGTGTCGGGTTCGGGATTTGTCTGTTTCTTTGGTTGGCTAAATGGCTTTGCTACGATGAAGGTTGTGATGTTTGGGGCGGAGAGACGTGAAGAAGCAAACAAGGACCCAGGATGTCGCTGAAACTCCATTTCCTAAGGGTTTCAGTGCCCAAACAGAAGGTATTCAGAGTATGGAACTTGGGACCTAAAACCCTACTACTTGGGTACGTGGACCCTCTGGGATTGTGGTTTCAGTTTCGCGGTTCACACTTCAGGTGCATCGATATTGGGGTGTGAGCATGTCACATGCCTTCAGCACCCATCAAGAAAGACAGAGAGAAGAAAGCCTGACAGGAGGCCGTGTCTACGACCAGAAATTAACCTGCGACAAGTTGAGGCCCCTGACAGCTGGGAGTTTCCGAAACTAGGGGATCCCAATATAGAACCCTAAACAGTAGGATCCTTGTCATAAGGACCCCCAAAATACGGTACCCTAATTTTCGGAAACTTCCAGCTGGGTCTAGCTCAGGGCGTTGATATAGGGCTGAGTATTCGACCGCCATCGTGAGGCTGGCAAAGTCTATGCAGCTGTGACGGAGGACATGGATGTGTTGACGCCTCTTAGCTGAAGTGGAAACAACGTGCACTCGACAATCAGACGGCCCAAAACCCCCTAAAGCGCCCGGAAGCCTAAACCCTGCTTCAGTCTGAGGTTCGGCTCTCCCCGACAGATCAAGAGCCTTGCCTGCATTCGGCGAGTTGGACAAGAGGTTGAACCTTGAGGCCTTATAAAAGACCATAATATACTATAGTAGACGTTGATATACTATAATATACGATAAGATGCTATAATATACTTTAGTACTCTATAACATATTACCATCTACTATATTAAGATTTACTATAATATCCGCTAAGGAACTTGTTCGATGTGGAGGGAAACCGGCTGCGGCAGGGTCCCCGCCCAGCGCGCGAGATCGACGCGGCCTCAGGTGCAAGCTTGGGTGACGATGCCAGACTCGGACGAACGACAGGATTTGAAGAGTCAGGGGTACAGCCGTCGCGGCAGGTTTCAACTGCCATGCCTGCTGCATACATAGGGAGAACAAACAACCACCTCCCACCTACCAAGAACTTGGGCCACGTGCTGGAGGGCCTGTCGCAGTCCAAGTCGGCTGTCGGAGCTTGATGGACTCCTTTAGTAGGGTGCCTGAGTCTCGACGCCGGAGGTCCCAGGATGCGGGCAGCTTCATCGAGTTCTGCATCCTTTGCGGCTGCGATTATCTTCCCCATTTGCCAAAGATAGGCCGGGCACCTTCGCTGCAGGAGGGGATTTGTGTTCACCGAGTCGTGGGCCCTCGTAGGAGCAAGGCCACGTGCCTTGTTCTTGCTGTCGCGCATGCACGCCTTCCTTGCAGGGATTTGGGGGTTGATCAAAATTATGGGCCCTTTGGGGTCTCTATAAAGGTATTCTTTATGGTTTAGGGGACCAAAAGGGGCCCCATAGTTTTGATCAACCCCCATCTATAAGGCCTGTCGTGCTCTGTAAAGCTTCAAGGAGAAGTGGATTTTGGCCACAGTCCAGTCAGGCCCAAAGACGGCCTCGCAGCTTCTGCAGCGCGAAGGCTGGCAGAGTGAAGTCAAGGTGTTACCTCCAGTTGTAGCGCGTGCAGCAGTGCTTCTCGTGTACTGTGGGACTTCAGTGGGTTGTGACTGGGTTAAAGTTTAGGGTGTGTGAGCCGGTGTTCGGGCTTAGGGGCAATGTCGGTGCATGTCGGTGCAGAGCGCCACGCCGCCGCTAGGCCGCTGCGACCACCATAGGTGCTTGTAAGCTCAAGCTGAGTGCGCTAGGCCGCCAGAGGGGCAAGTTGCTGTTCAAGATTATAATATATAAAAATGAACAATAAATGATGTACAATATATACATATATAACAACTAATATATAATATATAGCATACAGTATGTAGTTAATATGTAATCTATAACATATAGAATACAGAAAATGACTCTATATATATAATGTAAAACTATAATATAAGAGTTATAGCATCGAGTATATAACAATTGTAGAGGGAATTGTGCTTGCGCTGTTAAGCTCGCATGTCATAGGGCCAAGTCAGCTGCTGCACACCCTTGTCATTGACGGACTCTCAGGAATCGCGGCCATTTTGGGTCTCAGGCACAGCAAGGACTGATCCGTCAGATCACCCGCGGGATCTCGTTGGCTGGCTTCTGTGTTTTTGGTTGTGTCGTTGGTTGTCGTTGACTGTTGCTGGTCATGGCTTCCCCTCCTCGTGTCGTCGCGGCCGTGCCTTCTGGAAACTCCTCGGAGCAGGGGGACATCCCACTCTCGCTTATGACGTTGGCGGAAAGAAATGATGCAAGGGCACCGCGGGCTGGCTCTGGACCGTATGGGCCTCCCCTCCGATTCCTGTTTACTACCCGGAGGATCTCGTCATAGAAGATGTGGCGACCCTCCTCGCGACCAGCACCAACCGATCGGAGGCGCAGGTTAAGAACGCCGGTGTTGTTGAGACCTTGCTGGCTGCGGAGACTGTGGGCCTCCTTAAGGACTACCCCCTTCTGCTGCAGCTGGCATCGGACGTGAGGGACAGCAGCAAACGGCGCCGCTTGGAAACTTCTCTGGGCACTTTGCCTAGGGGAGTGGATGCGGTTGCCAAAGGCGCCGATCTTCCTTCTCCGGGGGCTTCTTGGGAGAGGATGACTGGCCCGGACTCTGACACGATGGTCGTGGATGCGCAGCCGTCAGACTCTGGGTCTTGGCAGCTGCAAGACACGGCCCCTTCCTTCACAGCCACTCAGGACACCATGGGTGACTACACCTGGGTTGAGCACGAGGACGTGGAGCGACTGCAGTCTTGGATCCAGGAACAATTGGATGAGGCCAAGGACCCTAACGTGGTACTTCCCTTGCTGGAGGACAAAGTGGTCTTGCTTCAAAGAGACTTTCCTTACCTGGCTGTGATCGACCTCTTCAGCTGTGCCCATCCTTGGTGGGACGCAGTTTGACGCTTCTACTCTGTGGTGCCAGCGGAGGTTGGCAAAATGACGGGCCAGGCATCTCGACCACGGTCCTGGCTAGGTAGAACTGCTTGAGACGGGAGGATCGTATCAAGTTGCTGGCGTACGTGGACGCTACCTCCAAGGGTTCTTCAACGCTCCGAGCCTCTTCGTCAGTGGCCTCATGCACATGCGCGAGAAGCTCCCGTTCAAGAATGTGGGCGCAGTGGACCTGTCCTTGCTTAATTTGACAAAGGAGGAGCTCTTGCGGGGCTGAGGTCAAGCGCATTGATGCCGCCAAGGGCCTCTATCGACTCGTGACTCCGGATGTCTTTCCCGAGCGGGTCTTTCGAAACGAGCTGGCTCAAATCTTTAGGTCTCTGCCCAAGCTGGTGGTCGAGTGGGTGGTGGACACCTTGGACTTGGACCTCTCCAACATGTCTCTGTTGGAGGACGCCATTCTCAACATTGGTGGGCACCTTCGCAGCCGCATGGTGACGCTGAGGCAAGAAGAGATCTTGAAACGCCAGGGCCAGGGTTTTGGCACAGCTACGGTGCCGCGTCCGCGCACTACCGCTCTGCCCTACATCTGCTAATCCTGGGTGCGGTGGTCGGTTCCCGGACTGGAAGCCGTGGCGTCAATCGAGGCTCCGTCACTTGATGGCTCTTCCTTCAAAATGGTGGAGGGCACTTGGAGGAGTGTTTCCGAGTCCTTTAAGGAGGGCGGATAAGGGCCTCCTCTTTGCCTCCGACCTTGGTTTTCTCAGCGACCGCACACAATGGGCGTTGTGTCCTCCCCGGACATGGCCAATGCCCAGACCACTCTCGAGGATGCGGCGGCCCAGTCCTGTTTAAGGCGGCGATCAACTTGCACCGTGGTCGTGTCCTCAACGCGGCGGCAGGTGTGGCCATGGCGGTCTCCAGTTTCAGTCCAAGCTGGTTTCCTGAGCCTTGGAAAACGAAGGCTCTCGAGCAATTTTTAAGGAGAAGGGTGCGGACATCCTCGGCTGCTGTGAACGTGACTCCCTGCCCCTCATCTTCGTGGTCCAGAAGGGCGAGATGGGGCACACACTCAAGCAATTTGCGGATGTCCCCACGGTCAACACCGTCTTGACCAAATTGGGTTTGGCAATTTGCAACCTCCGGGCTCTAAACTCCACTTGCAATTGAAGCGGTCAGACCCTTCTTGACTTGGTACGGGAGTTTGAAGGGTCCGACCATATGCTTGGTGTCCTCAAACGTGTCCTCTATCGCAGGGAATTTCCTTCAGGCTCTCAACTGGAACTGATGAACAAGATTGTGGCGAACCACCCCAAGGATGGAGAAGCGAAATTTCAGAAGCGCCAAAGCAAGAAGGATGTGGAATGGATCCATGAGGAATCCAACAGGGTGCAGAGTGAGAAACAGTGGAAGCGAGTCCTCATGATTTGCAGGACTTCCCTTACCTGCACGGGCCACTCTACCATCAAGCTTACGAAATCAGAACTGGAGGAGTTCTACACTTTCCTCTTCGGGGACACCATCATGGAACGTGAGCCAGCGCCCTCACTTGGTGTCCTGATGACAGCTGAAAGAAAAGCTTGGAGGCTCCTTGCCCTGAACATGGCCAATTATCAGACTTTGACAATCGGTGCGGCCCGTAAAGACATTCGGAACAACTCGCGATTTTGGTCCATGGAGATTGATGGGTGCTCAGATGGGAAGGAGTCTTGCAAGAAATACCATGCCTCAACAGGTGTCAGGGGATTGGCCGGTCACACAAGTCCTGTCCTTTTGCCCAACGGCAAGCTCTGTCAGAAGCATGTTTGACTCCCCTCTCGGACGGTCTTCTCGGACTCCGAGCCAGGTCAAAGCTCTGGGACAGTTGCTTCAGGCGCCGACTCCCGGAATGCTGCTGGTGAGCTCGTGAGGGGAGCCACGGAAGTACGAGATGAGTCCGTTCGGGACAGGGACAGCCCTTCAGGACCAGAGAAACACGGACGGAGATTCCTTGCTCCTCCTTCACATGCTCCTGCTTTGCCATCTGGCAATCAAGGGAGGCTCTAAGCCTCCGGCTTTCCTTTTGGAACATCCGGAGGACCCGGCCAGCTATGGAGCGTCGGAGTCGCACAAGTCATGCTCCTCCTGGTGGGCAACCTCACAATGCAAGCATTTTGCGGCCTCTCTCGGATGAAAGTACATTCCTTCGACCATGTTTCAGTGAAGCCCACCTCGGTCCTCACCATGACTGGGATGAACTCAAGTGCCATTACACCAGCCACCCAGTTTGGTGGTCAAGTAGTGACCTTGCCGGGTGGGGTTGGCGTCCCCAGATCAAGTTGGACCGGATTTCAAGGAAAGCAGTCTGTCCAGGACGATCCAGTCTGGCGTCCAAGAAGAAGAGACATCCCTCCTACGAGACAGGGAAATCCATCAAAATTGAAATGGGTGAGCTGATCTGCCCACAAGTGTTCGAGCACCTCTTGACATGGGTGACATGTGCGAACACACCTTCTGAAATTCTTGGGCTGCAAGCTCGATCAGCTTGTGAATTCTTGGGCTGCAAGCTCGATCAGCAGGGCCGAGCAAGGCCACTTCTTGGAAGATCTCTTGCTGGCCGAATAGGCATTTCCTTCGTTATCCGTGGTTCAGGATTTTGAACCTCCAGCATACTAGGCGTGGCCACCTCAGCAGCTAACATAAAAAGAACCAGGGTCCCCAACATTTCCAGGGCCCTGATTCTGCGCTTAGCCGCTGTGTGAGCAAGTAGTGCTTGAACCCAGGTGTCTGCCTGGCATCCATGGAGAACTAGAAGACGTCCTGCTTTCTGGGGCTCGGTGGAGAACCATCCTCCAATTGCCACCGTGTTATCGTCTTCACCAGCGTCGCTGGTCCCATGGCAGGGCCTCAGAGGGATACAGGGACCCGAGTTGAGGATGGTCAAGATCAAGGAGGCGAAGAAGCGGGAGAGGTCACGGTTGACCCTTCCTTTGCAACTTCTGCTCCCAGGCATAGAGTGGCTGAAGATGAGCCTTGGCCACCCACTGGAGTTTTCCAAGTAGGCAGGTAGCTTCCTTCCGAACATGAAGGTCATCCTCCTCAAGCCTCTTCAGGGCCGGAATCAGAGTGTTCAGCTTGTTCTCCGGCAGCCAAACGGAGCCGTTGGAGATGTCGACCATGTAGCCAAGCCAACGGTTGTCTTTTCCCAGGACATTCTTATGCCAGGAGATTGGGCAGCCAGCCAAGGTGAGGAACAGCATCAACGTGACCGCCCCAATGTCGCTTTGATGCGCTGGCATAAGCGCCATAAGCGCCATGAAATCATCCACCAAGCCCAGCACCCAAAGGAAGATGTCCGAAATGTGGTAGGGCAAGCGGGTGAGGATCGCCGCCAATCGGCCGCAGTACAGCGGCGCCGAAGCAACACTGCACGTGCCAACTTTGTTGATTCTGGGTTCTTGACCTTGGCAACCATGTACTTCCAGTGCTTTCTGAGCACCTTGATCCTTCCATGGGCCTTGCTCACGTCTGACATGAACAAGGTCAGCTTCGAATCTCCCAGATGGAGCTTGGCGAAGAGGAGGTCATAGAGCGTAGGCGCACCTGTCCTCTTGTCAGTGTTCGCTCGAATGTTGTCGTTGCACCAATGATGGAGGCATCGATGAAATGGTTCGGACCTTATCCGGCTCCTGGATGCCCGCCATGGCCCCAACACAACGCTCGTTGATGAGGCAACCATCGAAGGCCCATATCCAGTAGCTTCTCGTCCATGAAGGTAGATTCAATCATATCTTCGAAGAGCTGGGCACTCGGGTAGTTCTCTGCAGTGGTTGGAACCGGGGTTCCAAGTCACCAGGTAGGCCATCCAGCTGGCCAGATATCTGGGTCCGGCAAAATGGGTCCATCAACCCCCAGCAAGACTCCGTCTTTCAGGTGTTCCAAGAAGCCCTTGTCAGGATCGTCAGACAGCTCCACCAAGGCCTGGAGGATCTGCAGGGCAAAGGGTTGTCCGGGTGCAACCTCAGTGGAAACAGGTCTATGAAGTAGTTCTGAGAGACGACTGGCCAGCTTTGAGGACCCAATAATCTAGCCATGGGCAGCCTCTAGTCTTCGTCCACCATCCAAGCAGGTTTCAGCTGGCGACTCGGCGCCTGAAGGAGCCCCGTCAGCCGGAGAGGGCTTGCCCCCCCCATCCCGGGGGCCTCGAGCGATGTCCTAACTGGACCGTACTGGTCCGAGCCTCCATTGGTGTTAGGGCAGAGGCGATCGAGCGATCCAGGTCCGAGTATCCGAGTCTGCGAAGAAATTCCGGAGGCCCGCCGCCAACTCGGGTCCTTTTCTCGGGAATCTTGGACCGGCTGGGGTCGTGAGACCCCTCCCGGTAGGTGCGTATTTCCAACCGGTCTCCGGGCCGGTCTGAGCTCTGCCTGCCCCGGGTCTTTCGGATTTTTGACCTGATCTGCCACTACTCGGGTTCGTCGGCGTGTTCTGGAAAAAGACGGCCCTGGCTCTCTGCGGCATGTGACTGCACTTTGACATAATATATAGTATTTAACATATAGTATAAAATATACGAATTATAGTATCTAGTATATAATAAATAACATGAAATATGTAATATATAATATACAATATTATATACAGCATATTGTATAGTATACAGAATATAGTATATAATGTAGAATATGTGCAATCTCCATAGCATTCATGATCTAATATATAATGTATAAGTTATAATATAGTATATGTATGTTCAATGCACCATCTATTTACATATATATATATATATGTGTTCTGTAATATAGCCGCATATAATACAAGGTTTTTCTTGGTGAGCACTCCCAGAGCTGAGCCTGCGGGGTTCGACATCTGCTGATCGCAGGCTCCCTTTCGAAGGTCGTGCGTAGCATCCAAAGTGGGAAAGGGCCCAAGGGATGCACGAGCCTCAGCCTGCAATTCGCCTCCTTAGCCATGGGGTGCAACAGAAGGTTCTCAGCCTTCTTCTGGGGTGGCTGAGTCTCCAGCAGCCAGCAGGTGGCAGAGGATAGTCAAGGAAGATGGGTTTAGCTTAAAACCCGAAAACCCCAAACCTAAAAACCCTAAACTCATAAACCCTAGAACCCTAAACCCGAAAACCCTGCGCCTTGTCCCCCGAAAAGCATTGAAAACCGAGGATCCCGGAGGATTGGGACTGGAAGGCCGCGAAGAAGATCTTCCTCGAAGGCCGGGCCCAGGGTTTAGGGTGTAGGGTTTACGGTTTAGTTTCAAGGTTTCGAGCATTACACTTCTGTACACTCTCGAAGCAGTTTTTTGTCGGGTTCCGATTCCACAGAGATTATAACTGTTGGCCGGTCATGTTCGGTTTTGATTGGAGCGCCTGCCTCTGGCACCCACCAGTCTTAGGATGTCAGGTTTTTTATATTTAATTGGCCCTAGGCTTACAAAGCCTTGAACCTTAAAGCCCTAAAGCCTTAACGCCCTAAAGCCCTAAGCCAAAAAGCTTTAGACCCTAAAGCCCTAAACCCTAAAGCGTTAAACCCTAAAGCCCTAAACCGTAAATCCTCAAATCCTAAAGCCCTAAACCCTGAAGCCCGAAAAGCCTCGTAGCATGTAGGTTTGGAGCTTCGATGGGCTCCGGACTTTCCGGTGAAGGGAAACTGGGGGTTCAGTTGCCCGGCGATGGTAGGTTGCTGAAGTCAATGCTACCATGGGTTCCAATTATAGGGTTGCTATATACTATGATATACTATAATAGTATATACTACAATATACGATGGTGTATTATAACACATTATAACATACTATAATATACTAGAATATTCTATGAGTGCTATAATCTATATTTGTGTTTAATCGCCTTCGCAGGCTTTCTGAAGCCTACACCTTATCTTCAGGACAAGAAACCCCAACCTACATGCTGCCACCCAAAACCTTCAACTGCACTCCTCTACCCTACACTCCACACTCCTCTACTGTCCCCTACCCCCCCTCCCCAACACTCCCAAAGCCAACAGGCCTGGAGGCATCCCTAAACCCTAAACCCTGAACCCTAAACCTTAAATCCTTAACCCTAAACGCTGAACCCTAAACATCCCTAAACCCTGAGCCCAAAGTCCAGCCCGCTTGTGAGCCGCGAGGTCCGGAGGAGTTGACCGACTCGGAGCTGGGAAGGGAGGTCTTGGATCTGGACCCGGCTCAGAGGGGAAGAAGGGCAGAGGAAGTGGGTTTAGGGCTCAGGGTTTAGGGTTTAGGTGAGTTCAGGGTCTAAGTAAGGGATGAAGGTGTTGAAGGTTCGGGATTTTTCAGGGGTCAGGGCTTGGAGTGTGGAGTGTACGATTTGGTGGTGGGGGCCTGCAGCGACGAGTGGAAGAGCCATGAACTCAAGTGTCAAGTTCTGTCATGAATCTGGGGAGTCTAAGAGTCTGGTGTCTGGCAGCGTCCAAGCTTCAAAATTTGAGGATCGCCGTGGAAACTGAGACTTGAGCCGATGCGAAGGATGCGTTTCGCTCCCTGTTGGTGGAGAAGCATCAGCTTCTCGGTTGCGGCAATGGGTATTTAGGGTTTGGGGTATCCTGAACTGGTGAACAAGCCCAGGGGATTCTTGGAGTTCATGTCCAGCAAGTTCTGTAAGGGACCTCCCGCCTTTCGAGCCAGCAGTGCCGAGGTTCAACCCATCCCGTGTCGAGAACATGGTGGTACCAGCCTGAGACCATGAAAGATGTGTGGGTTCATAATTATGGGCCCTTTTTGGGGTCTGTATTGTAGTATCTTGTTTTTCGTTCAGGGGCCAAAAAGGAGCCCATATTTTTTACCCAACCGGCATGTGCCTAGAGCTTGAGAAGCTTTGGGCCGAAAGGAGCGCCTCCGGAAGGTCAAGGAGCCAGGAGGCCACCCTTTCATCTTCCGTCTTAGTGTTGGATCCGCGTCTTATACTACTCTTATTCTTATAATACTGTTATGAGACTACTGCATTATTATTGTCATTACCATGCTGGTATAATGCTAGTACAATACTATTCTAACATTATGACTCTTGCTCTGCTGGAACTTGCCAGGCCCAACGCAGCAGAAGCGCCTGGACACCTTCTTCACGGTGCCGTCTTCGCCAAGTCCGAGGAAGCCGCCAAGAGGCGGCTGGTGTCCAACGGGAGAGTCGGGCGGACTGACAACGGCTCCTGACAACCCTGCCACGGCTCATCTGGACTGGGCCACCAGCTCAGGAAGCAAGCGTTCGCACGCGGACATGATTGAGGCTGATGGCTCCGAGCAGGTGCGCATTGACTGGGTTATCTAAGGGGGAAGTTAGGAAGCTCGGGCATCGTAAGGAAAGGTTGTGACCCGTAAAAATTGCACCTCTGGAGCCGGACCAGGGGAAGAAGGGGTGAGCTGCTGAAAAGAGCGCAGCAATGACCCCACCTCCTTCCAGAACTTGTGGCATCGAACGCTTAGGTCTTACCGGTGGACACCGAAGCCTGAATCCAGATCTTCCGAAATTTCACAAGCATTTCTACCCATTCAATGAGAGTGGTGAGGTTCCTTCTGCCGTGACCCAAGGATTCCCTTCCTGAACCTTAAATCCTCAACCCTAAACCCTCAACCCTTAACCCTCCACCCTCAACCTTCTCTCGAGGAGCCGAAGGCCAATTTCCTCAAGCCAATGGAGCAGATCTGCGTGGAAGACACTCAGGCAGCTTCGAGCTGACTAGGGTTTAGGGTTTCGGGGACTATCCCGTGCTTCGGTTCAGGGCATGGGCTTCCCTGCTAGTACGGGATTTGTCTCGAAGCCGCCCTAGAAGCGCATAGAGGCATGTCCGGAGGTTTCAACGACGATCTGCACGAAGTCTGCGCGGGCTTTCTTTCTACTATAGATTGATGTTTTCGGCAGTGCCTTCCCTGTACATCCACGGAGTGCATGGCTTCGCAGGGATGTTCTCGAGTTGGCGAGCCCAACTCCGGCAACAGTTGGCCATTTAAGTTCCTGCCTACGAAGTGTCTCCGATTTCCACGGACATGCGGAGACCGCAATACCAACTTAAGACTCCAGACGAAAAGAAGCTGTGCAATCTAGTGCTGGCTCCGCGACAGCAACATGTTTGAATACATCGGCTCCGCATTGGAGGAGCGTATGCTGGTCGAGACACACAACTTCAACTTACATCGGTGTCAGAGTTAGACTCCAACATGAGCCTGACACGCAGAAGTCGCACCACACTGCAGCGCAAGGGCGCATTGTAAAGCCAGAAGCCGAATTCAAAGGAACGAGGCAGCATGAGGTAGCTTCAGCCGAAGCGAACACTGGACACGTGCAGGGGGTGAAGTAGGTGCATGAGCTTTTCACAGCGATAATTATAGTATAGTATAGTATACTGTAGTATACTGTAGTATGTATGTATATATATAATGGTATATTATGGTATATAGCCAGGAGCCGGAGGCCCAGCCAGCCCAAGCAGAGGAGGACTCCCAAGCTCCCACCCTGGCAGAGTCGAGCGCGCCCACGGTGGTAGACTCACCTGCCCCTGGGCTGCAGCGGAATCTAGAGCATGTGGGGTCGGAAGGGCTGGCGTCACAGCGAACATGCTTGTCTGCCCTTCATTCCCTTCAGGAAGGTGATGGGAACCACGGCTGCATCAAAAGGGAGGCTTTCAGAATTGCTTGCTCTTGCTTCAGCTTTCCCCTGCGCAGAAATTCTCAGAGAGCCTTGGATAGTTTTGGATCCAAGGACCCTGGAGGACTTGTGGACATGTGAAAGGCCCCCGACTAGGACTAGGGTTCTTTTCGCTGCGCAAAGCAGCCGCCGCCCACTGCAAGCTTCATCAGTCTTGCCACTTCTGTGTCACGGTAGGTGCACTTTCGCAAACGACGCGCAGCTCCCCTATTGCGAGATGTGCGACTCTCCTCGCAAAGCCGAGGGTGAGAATGGAAAAGCTGCTGGCGCAAAGCCCCCTGCCTGCAGGAAGATGAAGGCCAGGTTAGTTGCACGGCAGTTGTTCGCTCACACGTTGCCAAGCATGCGGATTGCCATGCGACAGAGCAGTTGTAATTTTCGGAAAGGGAATCGGAAAGTCCAAGGCCTCAGGCTTCGACGCCGTCCGCCTTCCAATCTCTGAGCGGGGCGAGCCAGATGATCGAGCTGGATGATTAGGAAACGGGCGCTGCCCAGCATTTGCACGGGAAGCGGCGGCGCTTCCCAAAGCGGCGGTGTTTGTTCTTTCGATGATCTCAGTGGTTCTCTCGTTGAAGTTTGTTGTGCATGTTTAGTGGCTCTCTCCTGGAAGCTTGTTGAGAGTTCTGAAAAACAGGGTTTTTACAAACCCTATCATGTTTCGTGCCTGCTTTTTCTTATTACTAAGATTACTAGTATTGCCATTATTCTTTGTT